CGTCTGGGTTGGCTAGTGAGTTATGACTTCCATGACTTTGAACTAATTCTACCAATAATTGGACCCATCTCAGATTCAATGATTCCAGAAGAAAGCTCAGGCCACACAGTGTCAACAGTACCCTTCAAGATCATCACCATAACCTCAGTCATGCCAGTGGTCAAGGAGCAGGTGTGTACAGAGCTAACAGAAGACCAACACGTTGCTGTTGTAGCGTCTGGACCAATCAGACACACCATTTTTCATTAGATTTAACAAATCAGTTATTCATTAGATTAACAAATAGTCACAGACCCCTCACCCAATAAACATACTGGGTGCCAGGATGTCTGTGAACGACACCAGGCCCCTGGTTACAATGGCAACCAGGACCCCTCAGCCAGATCAGATCAACTTTTACGACCTAAAAGTATGCAGGCAGAGCAACTCTTACTCAAGTCTCTCTAAAACAGACACATACAGGTGCATCTCAATAAATTAGAATGTCGTGGAAAAGTTCATTTATTTCAGTAATTCTAATGCCCATAAAAATGGACTCTTCTCTAATTAATTAATAGGAAAACCTTTCTTTGAATGAACACACATACACTTCAGGTCATTGTGTATGTTGTTACTGTTCTTGTATATTGTCTTTTGTATTGTATACCGTTTTATGCATGCTTACGATAGAACCACACGTTACATCTTACCTATATGTAATCTTACCATGTTTAATATCTATGAATTCGTCTTCTGATGATCTAAACGAGACTGTATATTTCTTCTCAGACCTTAAAGGCCTCACATCAGTGACCCGCCTTCAGTCTGCGGTTCTGTTAGATTCTGAGAAGATGAGGATGTGAGCTAGAACACTTCTGCAACTCTTAAGTCTGCACCATGTCTTTACATTCACCAACGATCCTAGGATCTCAGCTGATCTCTTAGCTCTTTTTCACTTTCCACTGGGAAGAAACTTCCAATCACCATCGAGTCAGAACATCTTTGGAATTCATTACTCTTCAAACCCGGAAGAACGTGATCGCAAGTCCAAACCCTTGAAATCATCAAGACTTTCATCCGAGACTGCATCCGGACACTCGTCAACGACCAAGGCAATGCAAGTATCGTGCATTTAACTAAACGAAACAGAGGTTTAGTATAAGCGGTAGACCCTGCTGTAAAACGGCACTGATGGTTTTTAACTCAGGTGGTTCTGACTCATTTTCCATAACTGCATTCTCTGGTTTCTCTAATGGCTTCATTCATCCACTTTAGCTCCTCTTTTGTATGTCTGCGTGAGTGCATGAATGTTTGTTTGTTTGTTAGACTAGTTTGTGTTAGTGTTTATTTAACAAAACTCTTTTGCACAAATTACATGAGTTTCTGATTCTGCCTTGCAAATTAATGTCCCTTTACGATTTTGATCCTTGCTACACTACTGGCAGCTCATATAAATAATTGTAATTAATCATAATTAATTGTAATTATTTATATACATTTCCCATTTGAGCTGATTTGCTACATAAATGATGGAGAATGCGGGCAATCATTTTAAACATTATTTGCAAGCGGACTCAGTATCGGACTTGTGTTTTTGTCTCATGGGTTTTTATTAACGTCTTACACATGCATACCAGCTTCTGATAAACTCAGATAAACTATAGCTTGAATGTGCCTTCCTACGAGCAGTAGAAAGTTTTCAGTGCTATAATGTGTTTAAATCGTACGATAAGGAATTAACCTGATATTAGCGAAGACATCCTAATTTCTGTGGTTAGTAGAGTGTAAGCCTTGTCTGACGAAGAAATCTCAGATTAGCAGCCCATATAAATGGTACCAGAATAAATTAATCTGTTATTGGGTGAAGAAATCCCCACTTTCAGTTTAAATGCATAAGTCTTAAGTCTGACGAAGAAATCTCAGATTAGCGGCATGAATTAATCTGCGTGGCGAAGAAATCCCACTGGCAGTGATATTAAAACTGGGCGACGAAGAAAGCTCGCTGCAGTATATTTACTTTTAATAGTGATTTGAGCAATGTTCCTCATCTCCCTAAATTAAGGCCTTCTTGTATATATCGCGTATCATTGTATTCATTACGGTGATGCAATTGAATAGCGAATTAATGGTGTAATTCTAGCCTAGCTAACTAGTAATTA